AAAAAATTTATGAAAAAACTATTTAATTCAGTTGCAATATCTAGGATTGATTCAAGTGTGTCACCATCTTTGGAGAGTTTTATCCGATTGTTATGTGACTGTTGTTTAGGCCCTAGGATGTTATAGATGGCTTTCCATGTACTTTTTTGCTTATTTGATTGATGAAGATTAAGCTACCCATGAGGTGTCATGGGCACCTCATGGGCATGAGTAGCACGTAAAATTGCTTATTTGTTGTTATAGATTCAGCTACTTGGAACAAGTTCCAAGTTCCATTAAGTAGCACGGGCTATGGTGAGCCCGTAACTTACCTGGCACAGGAACTGTGCTGTTTTGATTTATTTGCTTATCGATTGCTTATTTAATCGGTCCACACCTCACCATTCTCTAACAGGTAGAGAAGAAGTGTTAACTGTAATTAGGGAAGGATAAGTAAGTAATTATCAATAGAAGGCACCAAGCCGGAAATTAGGGAAGAGGTATGAATTCGTAATTTGTGGACTAGGTAGTATTAACAAAACCATCTCATTATTTGCACATAAGTTAATGAGAGTTTGGAGCAAGTATAATACTGACATAATATACTTACTACAAGTATTTAAACCCGACTGAAGGTGAACAGAGGTCTTGACCTCCACTGGCCACGTTTAAGCTGCCCCACTTGTTGCGCGCGGCGCGATGCGAACCGCTCATCATATGTTTTTCTTCCCCAGAAATTTCTCTGCTTTCTTTCAAGCAGTGTCCGTGGCGTGGTGTAGTGGTCTAGGGCATCTAGTAAAACCCTGATTGGGCTTCGGGTTGAAGTCTCGGAACCCTTAAAGGATTCAGTGGAATTCTTCAGTCAGATTCCTTCTGTTTGCAAAGACGAGTTACAATAACGTGTTAGTTTAGTTCATTTATTATGCATACTATTTCCATCTTGTGGGGGAGACATTTCCCGTCACGCAGTGTGCAGTCGCACCTCCACAGATCTCCAGTATCAGCTCTTGATACTGGTAATGGCTCAAAAGGGCCACCACTTACAGGCTATTCATGTCCGTGCCACCTTTTGGGTGGCTTAATCTTCATCAATCATCTTGTGGGCGGTAGTAGAAAGGGTTACAGAGGGACTGAATCCCACAATTCATTTAGCTAAGCAAGTTACAATCTTGATGAGCTAGTTACAAAATTCAGTATAAGTCGTCACATCATCAATGGGTTCGAGATCGACCACAAGTACAGTTTCTAAATTAAGCAACTGACATATGTGGAGAGCTAGTGTCACAATTGCTATGTTTGCCCTGCACACCGCGGCTGAAGAAATGGTGACCAGACCAAAACTCAAGATGGAGAAAATCGCAATCGCAAACATTCGCTACTAAGACCTGGGCAAACTGGAGGAAAGGTCTAGAAGAAGGGCTGCTAAAGATCAACGCAGGAAAGTGCAAGGTAAAGAAAATAGGCGAAGGGAGCAGGAAGCTGGAAGCAAGGTACCACCTGGGAGGTGAAAAACCTGCAAGAGCCAAATAGAGAGAAAGACCTGGGGGGGGGGGTGATAACACACCGAGCCTGTTCCCATGGGTCCCCCAACAAAGAACCAACAGTGGCATATGCCAGACTGGCCAACACAAGCCAGCCAGCATAGCACTCGCCACCATAAAGAATGTAACGAGCTGACTGTAATAACCTAGTTGCTGGTAAAGCTACTGCCAAAACAGGCGTTGCACAAAGAAATAACATTGCTCTGTAGCCGTAAATATGAGTTAAAACTCAAGATGGAGAAGCGACGACTTTTCGGTCCGTCCTGGACCATTATCACGTCGTGTTCAGTTCATTATCAAGTCGTCGAAACGTCGTCGCTTCTCCATCTTCTGAGTTGTAGTTTGGTCATCAGATTCCTTCCCAATCCCTAAATATGCTAAACATAAACTCACTCCACACATTCTCTTGTGCCATTTACATTTGCAAAACCCAAATCCCTGTTCTTAAATTCAAACCCTGTTCTAAAATGCAAACCATGTTCTAAAACTCTTCCTGAACACATGTAATAGAACCCATAATCACCATACCAGAAATAAATATCTCTTTGATATCCCCAGAGTCAAATTTAATATGTAAACACTATATGCAAATAAAGGAACTTTATTTATGGAACTCACTCCCTAACGAATTGAAAAGCTGTCCAATTTTTGCCTTATTCAAAAATAAAACCATAAAGTACCAAATTTCATCTTCATAGTTTCCTACCTAGTGCTTTATACTCGTGCTGTATTTAGTGCAACCCAATCCCCCAATATATGCATCTAAGTCATACAATCTTCGTCATCATTGCTATCACCTTACATCATGGTTGTTATATTGAGTGCATATTTTACTGCATTATTCCTTGAAATGATCTTCAAATTGTGCTGCAATGAACCATTTGATAACCCTATTTTACCCTAATGTACCTATATTAATCTTTGTCATTATTGTGTATTAATCAAATATCTGTGTATTGTGTCAGATTTTCTTACAATGTACCTGTAAATATTTGTCAATTTTGCTGGAAATTACCCACTTAAAATTATCTGTTAGATTAAGGACCTACCCGAAACGCTATGCGTGCTAGTGACTTTACAAGAATGTATAATCTTCATTGCTATGTATTCTCTTAATCCCCAATGTACCTTCTTGTAAATCAATCAATAAATAAATAAATTAATTTAGCACAGCCCTTTGTTTCCTTTGATCCATTCTAGTATCTACCATTTATTCCATGAGCCTGGCATTTCCTTGTCAGTCTTCCATGTGGTATCTTATCCAAAGTTAGCAAAATCCATGTATACAACATGTACCGGAAGTCTTTTGGTTGTTAGTTATCGTTTCCAGAAATGTGAGCAGATTTGTAAGGTAGGATCTATATTTAACAAACCCATGTTCCGTTGATTTTACATGATTGTTCACTAAGATATGGTGAATGATTCCATCCCTTAGGATTCTCTCCATGAGCTTGCAGATGTGTTGTGATGTCAAGCTTATCGGGTGGTAGTTTTCTGCTGAGCTCTTTCTGCCTTTCTTGAAAATAGGGGTGACATTTGCATATTTCCAATCTAGGGGAACTATTCTTTGGTTCAGATATTCTCAGATAAGGAGTTTCAGTGATTGGCATAGTTCATCTGCCTGGTTTCTTTACGACTTTGGATTTAATTCCATCCATCTTTTAGTTTGTCAATGTCACAATGTCCTGATTATGTCGCAAGTTATGAGTATATCTCTTAATTCGTTCTCTTCACCTCCTTTAAACATTTGTGTGGGTAATGGGATGTCATCTAATCTTTATAGTGAGAACACTAATGTAAAGTATTCATTCAGTGTATGCTACTCTTTCATCATCCATTACAACTTGGTTAGCCTCATCTTTTAAGGGTTCTATCGAGTCCTTAGTTTTGGTTTCTCTTCTTTATAGCTATAGAATTTGGACTTTGGCAAATTTTAATTCGTAGTTTCTTTTGGCTGATCTGATTTCCTGGATGGCTGATGATTGATAAAAATTAAGCCACTCAAAAGGTGGCACGAGCATGAATAGCCCGTAAGTGGTGGCCCTTCTGAGCCATTACCAGTATCAAGAACTGATACTGGAGATCTGTGGAGGTGCGACTGCACCCTGCGTGACGGGAGATGTCTCCCCCCCCCCCCTGGATGGCTGAGTTTAGTACCGTTTTATATATCTCACAATCAATGATGTTCATCTTGGACATAAACCTTCTCCTGAGGTTCCGCTTAGTTATCAAAGTTCTTTTTACTTCCTGTGTCATCCATTTAGTTCCCTTTCTTCTCTTCCTCTTTTTTGGCACATTTTTTGCATGAGTTCAGTGATGACCTTGAAATTTTGCCATGATGCTTCCATGCCATGGTCACCTATTAGCTCCCTCCAGGAGGTGTTTTCGCAGTTCTTCTCTCATTCTTTGATAATATTCTCCTGGGTAATCTAGAAAGTCATCATTATAGACCTTTATGTGGGTTTCAATAATTTTCATCTCTCTTTGAATAATTACAATGTCAATATTTGGTGTTCTAAATGAATCATAGTACTAGTTTTTTTCTGCTCGAGTGTCAGTTACTGCTCTTCTGTCAGTCCTATAGTTTGGTTTTGACAACAGACTGTAATGCCTGGTCTGGTCTAGTTCAATTTTAGGATGATTATAATGCATGCACGCAGCTTTAGCTGCCTCATCTGTATCATCATATATATTTGACAACACCTATGTGAGATATTTACCTGAATATAACTGGGGTCTACTGTTTCTAGTGGCCTCGAAGAGAGCAGGAAGCCGGCGGCTTGTCGAAGGACCCCCCCCCTATATGTCCTAGGATGATTATGCTGAGCTGGATTTTGAAATACAGCAGTAAGGACGATGTTGGGAAGGTAAGCGCGGAGCCATTATGACTATATGGCACTAAGTTGAAATTCCGCTGTTTTTTCCCATTTGGAGCTTCGGCAGCTAGGCGGTTCCATGGGTTTATAACTCTATGAGTGAAAAAGAATCTCCTGTTTTCTGTGCAGCATTGTGACTTGTTGAGCTTGAAACCGTTGATCCTTGTTCGTGTTATTTCTGACTTTTTGAAGAAGGGGTCTGGATCAATATCCATACAAATCCATACAAATGGGATTCTGGAACTATTGCTCTGAACACCAATTAAGTTATTTTAATTGATCTTAGAACATTCTTATTAGCTATTTACATATTAAGAGGAGCCAATAAATGTGAGCGGCCCTAGATGCTGGGGTGTGAATCCTGAGGTCTGGGTGTGGTAATAGGGTTGTGGTCCCGGGGACGGGGTTCTGGGGGCTGGATCCTACGGTTGTTATCCTGGGGTCAGGGTCCTGGGGTCGTGGTCCTGGGGTCGGGGTGCTGGGGTCAGCGAGCTAGGGCTCGGGCCCGGATTCAAACTTCCCGCTGCGGTGCGATTCTGTCCTCCGGACATGCCTCTATGCCATGTTTTTTTTGTTTGCCCTGATAAAAATGTAGCATATCTTTACCTGTAGTATATTATAAAGCTCATATGAAGTAAGACTTGAGGCTCCATCTCGAGAAGGAGGAGCAAGACTGGTTTTGTTTTTGCTTAAGCCGACATTGTGACGTGTGTTGGGAGCCATGTTGAGGTGAAAGTGTTTTTGTGGGTGGACTTTGTCACAGATTTTGGTGTGTGGTGTTGGAGCGAGGCTGCCGAGGCCGCCGTGTGAGGGACGCCAGGCGCTCACTGCCTCACTCGTCATGATCAACATGTGGAAAGTCAGGGAACTTACCGAGAAAGTGTGAGTATTGTGTTTGGTTCTCTCAGCTGATTACCACAACGACGTGAGGTGAGCAGGTACACTGCCTCGCCCCGTCACCCCAGGTGGCGTAGTCCCTCGCCCCGTCACCCCAGGTGGCGTAGTCCCTCGCCCCGTCACCCCAGGTGGCGTAGTCCCTCGCCCCGTCACCCCAGGTGGCGTAGTCCCTCGCCCCGTCACCCCAGGTGGCGTTGTCCCCCGCCCCGTCACCCCAGGTGGCGTAGTCCCTCGCCCCGTCACCCCAGGTGGCGTAGTCCCTCGCCCCGTCACCCCCAGGTGGCGTAGTCCCCGTCACCCCAGGTGGCGTAGTCCCCGTCACCCCAGGTGGCGTAGTCCCTCGCCCTGTCACCCCAGGTGGCGTAGTCCCTCGCCCTGTCACCCCAGGTGGCGTAGTTCCTCGCCCCGTCACCCCAGGTGGTGTGGTCCCTCGCCCCGTCACCCCCAGGTGGCGTGGTCCCTCGCCCCGTCACCCCCAGGTGGCGTAGTCCCTCGCCCCGTCACCCCAGGTGGCGTAGTCCCTCACCCCGTCACCCCCAGGTGGCGTAGTCCCTCGCCCCGTCACCCCAGGTGGCGTAGTCCCTCGCCCCGTCACCCCATGTGGCGTATTCCCTCGCCCCCGTCACCCCAGGTGGCGTAGTCCCTCGCCCCGTCACCCCAGGTGGCGTGGTCCCTCGCCCCGTCACCCCCAGGTGGCGTGGTCCCTCGCCCCGTCACCCCCAGGTGGCGTGGTCCCTCGCCCCGTCACCCCCAGGTGGCGTGGTCCCTCGCCCCGTCACCCCCAGGTGGCGTAGTCCCTCGCCCCGTCACCCCAGGTGGCGTAGTCCCTCGCCCCGTCACCCCCAGGTGGCGTGGTCCCTCGCCCCGTCACCCCCAGGTGGCATAGTCCCTCACCCCAGGTGGCGTAGTCCCTCGCCCCGTCACCCCAGGTGGCGTAGTCCCTCGCCCCGTCACTCCAGGTGGCGTAGTCCCCGTCACCCCAGGTGGCGTAGTCCCCACCACCCCAGGTGGCGTAGTCCCTCGCCTCGTCACCCCAGGTGGCGTAGTCCCCGTCGCCCCGTCACCCCAGGTGGCGTAGTCCCTCGCCCCGTCACCCCAGGTGGCGTAGTCCCTCGCCCCGTCACCCCAGGTGGCGTAGTCCCTCGCCCCGTCACCCCAGGTGGCGTAGTCCCTCGCCCCGTCACCCCAGGTGGCGTAGTCCCTCGCCCCGTCACCCCAGGTGGCGTAGTCCCTCGCCCCGTCACCCCAGGTGGCGTAGTCCCTCGCCCCGTCACCCCAGGTGGCGTAGTCCCTCGCCCCGTCACCCCAGGTGGCGTAGTTCCTCGCCCCGTCACCCCAGGTGGCGTAGTTCCTCGCCCCGTCACCCCAGGTGGCGTAGTCCCTCGCCCCGTCACCCCAGGTGGCGTAGCCCCTCGCCCCAGGTGGCGTAGTCCCCGTCGCCCCAGGTGGCGTAGTCCCCCCGGTCGTCCCCGGGTGGCGTAGTCCCCCCGGTCGCCCCCGGGTGGCGTAGTCCCCCCCCCCGGTCGCCCCGGGTGGCGTAGTCCCCCCCGGTCGCCCCCGGGTGGCGTAGTCCCCCCCCCCCCCCCCCGGTCGCCCCCGGGTGGCGTAGCGCCCCCGGGTCGCCCCCGGGTGGCGTAGCGCCCCCCGTCTCCCCCGGGTGGCGTAGCCCCCCCTCCCGTTGGCCCCAGGTGGCATAGCCCCTCCTGTCACCCCCAGATGACGTAGCCTCTCCCGTCGCTATATATAGTACTGTACTGTATATGAAAACTCAACAAAATGCTAGTTAGACATGACTATATAAATCTGGCATAGGTTAAATAATATGTTTTGCTGAATACTTAAATAGAATGTGCATTGAAAACTATGGTGTTTGTCGAGGATGAGTTGACCACAGTGTGGGGCAGTGTTGCACTATGCTGTTTTATGATGCTTGGCCACCCCCTGCTTTTATATTGTGAATTTCCTGTTGTGCAGCTCCACCCATCATTGTCAGAGCGAATCCAGATAAAGTTCTAATGAAACTATAGAAGTGTACAATTTTTAAGGATTTCTACAGATCTTACTACATGGGGGGTATCTGTCGTTGCCTGGGTTGACCATGTATCCAGGTCATGAATACACACTACCCCGTCTCTACTCACTCGCCCCCCCCACCCCCACCCCATCCCCCACGTACTGCCCCCACCCCCTCATCCATGCACTACCCCCCCAATATACATGCACTACCCCCCATATCCTTGCACTACCCCCCCTATCCTTGCACTACCCCCCCTATCCTTGCACTACCCCCCCTATCCTTGCACTACCCCCCCTATCCTTGCACTACCCCCCATATCCTTGCACTACCCCCCATATCCTTGCACTACCCCCCATATCCTTGCACTACCCCCCATATCCTTGCACTACCCCCCATATCCTTGCACTACCCCCCATATCCTTGCACTACCCCCCATATCCTTGCACTACCCCCCATATCCTTGCACTACCCCCCATATCCTTGCACTACCCCCCATATCCTTGCACTACCCCCCATATCCTTGCACTACCCCCCATATCCTTGCACTACCCCCCATATCCTTGCACTACCCCCCATATCCTTGCACTACCCCCCCCCCATATCCTTGCACTACCCCCCCCCATATCCTTGCACTACCCCCCCCCATATCCATGCACTCCCCCCCCCCATATCCATGCACTCCCCCCCCCCCATATCCATGCACTGTCCCCCCATATCCATACATCCCCCCTCACCATATCTATGCACCTCTCCTCAGCCATGCACTGCCCCCCCCTCCCTTCTGACATCACACTGCCCCTTCCCCCTCACTCATCATATCTTCAGCCACATTATTGTGACTCATGTAGACAAAAGTAAGTTACAGCTTTGCCATACTTTGCAGATGATACAAAAATCAGCCTGAAAATTACTTTTGTAAAACACATTGAAAGACTACATGCTGATACTAATAGTCTTCAATTGTACTGGTAAATAACATATTTAACAGCAATAAGTTCCAGGTACTGTACTTGGGTACAGTACTCCTCCTCCTCCAAGGAGTGCCGGACCAACCGGGCTGTGGTGGGTATGTGGGCCTGCGGGCCGCTCCAAGCAACAGCCTGGTGGACCAAACTCTCACAAGTCACTTGGGGAGTAGAACAACTCCCAGAACCCCATCAACCAGATATCAACCAAGTATCAACCAGGGTATTGTGGAAATGAACTTAAATAAAATACAGGGCTCCTCAAGACACAGTAAGATCTTATAGAAGGCACAATAGAGAACGAGCATGGTTCTGTATGTGAAGTTCATCAAAAGAAAAAGGAAATGCAATAAGGCAGCAAAACTAAGATTACCAAGGAAAGTAAACTGTTCCAGGGTTATTTGTTTGATTGTAGCTATATATTTACAGTAAATTACTTGTTGCCATTTTTTAGCATTTTACTGTAATATGCAAACATCTGCTAACCTCTGCCAAACAAATATTCAATTACGTTGAAATTGTTATTGTTTTTTATAAAATTACCGTTAACTGTTGTTTGGGTATAACTTGATATGTACTAGTATTAGGTATGCATGTACACATCTTTAACACAAAGGAGCTAAGTAAGAACAAAGCAGTTGGACCAGATGGTGTTTCACCACGGGTTCTGAGAGAATGTGCACTTGAACTCGACATTCCACTTCAACTGACTTTTCAGACATCCCTGTGTACAGGAGTCATAGCAGATGTGTGGAAAAAAAGCTAACATAGTTCCAATCTACAAAAGTCGCATCAGGAAAGACCCCCCTCAATTTAGATCTGTATCATTTACAAGCGTAATACAGTAGTCAAAATATTGGAAAAAATAATTATAGCTAAGTAGGAAGAACACCTTGGAGAAAAACAATATAATATCAGACAGCCAGTATGGTTTTCAATCTGGAAGATCCTGTGTAATGAATTTACTCAGTCTCTATGATCGAGCCACAGAGATTTTACAGGAAAGAGATGGTTGTGTTGGGTTATTATCCCTAAGATAATAGGGACGATAAGAAACTAAGACGATTGTCATGCCCTTCAAGAAAACCTGGACAAAATAAGTATATGGAGCACCACTTGGCAAATGGAATTTAATGTGAATAAATGCCATGTTATGGAATGTGGAATTGGAGAACATAGACCCCACACAACCTATAAATTATGTGAGAAATCTTTAAAAAATTCTGACAAAGAAAGAGATCTAAGGGTGGTTCTAGATAGAAAACTGTCACCTGAGGACCACATTAAGAACATTGTGCAAGGAGCCTATGCTACACTTTCTAACTTCAGAATTGCTTTTAAATACATGGATGGAGAAATACTAAAGAAATTGTTCATGACTTTTGTTAGACCAAAGCTGGAATATGCAGCGGTAGTATGGTGCCCCTTAAGAAGAACATCAACAAACTGGAAAAGGTGTAAAGACATGCTACTAAGTGGCTCCCAGAACTGAAGGACAAGAGCTACAAAGAAAGGTTAGAGGCATTAAACATATAAAAACTAGAATATAGAAGAAAAAGAGGCCTATGATTACTATCTACAAAATAGTAACAGGAATCGATAAAATTGATAGGGAAGAATTCCTGAGACACGGAACGTCAAGAACAAGAGGTCATAGATTTAAACTAACGAAACAAAGCTGCCGGAGAAATATAAGAAAATTCACTTTCGTAAACTGAATGGCAGAATGATTGGAACAAGTTAGGCGAGAAGGTGGGTGGAAGCCAAAATCGTCAGTAACTTCAAGGCATTATATGACAGAGTGCTAGGGAGACGGGACACCACGAGCATAGCTCATGCTGTAACTACACATAGGTAATTACAACAATCCAACCCTTGCACCACTCTTTCCCAGTTCTAACCCTCAAATAGTGTGACTAGATGCAGGGTTTTAACAAGCTCACATGTTGCATCACAAGAGTTTATTGCATACCCAATCAGATTATGTGTACCTCTGTTAGTTATGCAGTAAAGCACACTATACCAGAAGTAGAGCCCCCAGAGGAAATGTTTTGCCTTGTAGTGTACATAGGGAGAGGGAATTACTAGTTTTATGTATACAGTACTATAGAAAATCAATCTACACTTGGCCTGGCTGTGCTCATATTATGCAACTACATGAGACATGGATACAAAAGAGTATACAGTATGTTAGTTCTTGAGAATCTTAAGAAGCTTTATGATGTAATGATTGTAATAGTAAGATATGTTACCATCACTGCACATTGCAGAATAGTTGCAATAGTTGCAACTACCATACATGCTTTCTGTGCATCTTTTACCATTGTGTGCATGTTCACCTAGGGTGGCGCTTGCGATTGTGCGTCTGGGCTTTAAAATATGAGGTTAGACTGTGTAGGCATCAGTGATAAAAAAGTCACCCAGTGTGGTAGCTCAAAGTACATCAAGAATACTGTAGCCTCCCCCCCACCCCCACCCTAATTCCCCCATCTTCCCCCACACATTACCATCTTGCATGTACAGTATTTCCACAATTTTTCAACATTAAGATGTGATGTTTTGTACATAATGACTTGTGTGAAAATTATACTGTATACATTATAGGTTTCAGTATTGTTCTGTAAATATAATTAGCAGATTGAAGCAAAACAAATGCTTTCGAGAGAATTTGTATTTGATTTGTTTATTATTGAATGAAATGCATGATCATGTATAACACTGCCCCCACCCCCATAAAAAAAAATTGCTGTCTACATTGTGCAAAACATTTCAGCACACATCAGGTTTTGAACAATGCACTGCTAATGTCTCAACATCAGCATTTACCTATTTTGTGTGTAGTTGGGTTGAGTATGGGGAGGTGGATGGAGAACTACACCAAAGTGGGAGCTTTTACAGGTCACATTGCTTTTCATGAGGCATTTCTTTGGTGGAAAGTAAATTTGGCTAAATATTGTTTCTTGCTCCATGGAATGACAGCAGTTGCAGTTGGTTCCATAGGGACAATAAACATGGTTATAAACTAATGTTTTGCTAGGTTTCTAACATTGCTGTATTTATTAAGATTTTCACAAATTAATTTTGTTCAATTAATTGTTTGTGACCCTTTGTATGGCAGAAGGTCATGTATTGAAAGTGAACATTGGCTACAATAATTGCTTATGTCTGAAAATTACACAAATCTTAAACCATGGAAATACAGTACTGACATGTAAATGTACAGTATAATACATTAATATATTAAAGTTTAATATTTTACATCGCATCCTTTTTGATAAATGTTAATTATTTTTCAGTTTTTGTAATTTTGTATACAGTATTATATCTCTTATTGACATATGACAAGAAGGTGCTTGTGAGACTATGGGTAAATATTACACTTTAGTATTTACTTTTCCTCTAGTGACTTGATTATAATTAGTGTTAGGCTCAGGCTGACAGGGTAACTATTGGTCAGCCAGGTTAAATAATGCTGCTTTTGGCTGATAACTTGTATTGATATATTGTGTGAATTCTAACATTTTGTTGGCATTGTAGTACAGTATGTGGGTGTCTCATTCTTTAAATAATGATAGTGGGTATAACTTAACATTTAGCTGAATAACCCCTACCCTAAATCTTGGCCTGTAGCCTAAATTCCACAAATATGTCAGTTCTTAACTGCTAATTTATTTACTTATTTTATCTCCAGCACCAACATGGTGATGAACTACACAGAGGTGGAAGCCAAAGTTCGTGAAGCCACAAATGATGAAGCTTGGGGGCCAACAGGTACAAACTAAAATATATTTATTAAACTGTGATTCGTTTAACATTTAATAGTGTCAAGATTGTCACACCACATACAGCAATGTAGTGTGAAAGATTTGATGAATTTCCTGTATTGCTCGCCTGTTTCCTTGAGAGCCAAAATTTCCCACTCCATGAAGGTGGGATGGGGATAGGTTGTTATTCTTGTCTTGACTAAATAATTTAGCTTAGCAGACTATCTTCATGCAAATACAGTATTAAGAAAAAATTCTCTTATAATTTGTCATATTTGGGCAACAAGTAGCCATAGGAGGATATGTTGTGATCATATTGCTGCTTGTTCTTCTCTCTCTTTGTTAGTTTTCTTAGCTTGTCCTAGTTGCTCATATCTTATGTGGTACTTGGTGTTAATGTTTGTTATATCCATGTTATATTTGACTTATTCTTCCACAGCCTCATTATTTTAATTTAATTGAGGTTAAACTCCAGTAGCCATTTGTCCTAGGCTTTCATGTACCAATATGCGGTCCTCAAATAAATTTAACAAAGTGTACAAACTGTCATGTCCAGTCCTACTCGATATGGGAGGCTGTTTACATAAATTGGGAACAGTAACTGTTCAGATACCAAACCCTGTAGGACCCCCCACTTCTCACTACCCTAGGCACCTCCAACACAAACCAGGGTTTGGTTAGGGGGAAGGGGGGGGGGTTACAGAATGGTAAAATGAATCTTGCTTTACATTAGATATATTTTGGATAAAATAATTTGTTTCATCAGTAGTGAATGATTGCATCGAGTGTTGCTCAGCATGTAGGCTGTTGTCATATATTATTGTTTTATTATAGTCAGAATACTCATCAACATTGCTGTAGTAGGCTACTTATCTAATCTGATATGAGAGAACACATGTGAACCCTTATCAGTGAACTTTATTTTGTACACTTCACAAAAATGTAAATTCTCTTTTTTTTTTTTTTTTTTTTTTTTTTTTAACATTTGTAAATAATTTTGTGACCAGCTTATTCAAACAAAATTTTATTACTTGTTGGGAATGAATAAAAAATATATCAAATAGGCATCAAATAGGCATAATAAATTAAAATTGACTATTACCTGATTAAGTTTATAGTTATTTGCAGCTACATTATTTATTTTGTAATTCTTCATCACATCACATTTCGACATCAAATGCCCTAACAGAAAATATGATGCACTATGAATTATATTGGGTAACAAACATTGACATTTTCACTGCTTGGATTACTGAGCTAGGTTAGGTTTAGATGTTTTAGTAAACAATTTTCTTCCCATCGTGGCAACTGGAGAGGGCAGGCTCATTGAACAACCTTTTGGGAAGGAGGTCATACAAAAATTTAGAAGCGCCCCCCCCCCCCCCAAAAAAAAGGCAAGCAATGATGAAAAGGCACAACAATGGAAAAAATAAAACTGAGAAACAGCATTTATACTGAAGGTGATATTAATATGGGCTATGGAGAGTGTAGCAGACAGCCAGGTGGTGGTGCAGACTGTAAGTTGTCAAAGAGGAGAATCCTGAAGTAGTAGTAGAAGGGGTCACTTTCTGTGCTGCTATATAGTAGTACCGTATTATGGTATTGTACTTGTAATAACTTTTAAGGCCCGCTTAATTTTCATCCATATACTGTAACCGAAAAATATATTTGATAAATAGTATCTTCTGTTCCTCCTCCTCCTTGTTTGCACAAGGGTTTTGTTGCTGGAAAAATCTTGCACTGGATGTGCTAAATTTTATGTGAAAACAAAAAATAAGATTTTGGTTCCAGAAACTTAAAACTTCCACTTCTCAATAAAATGTTACTATGTTTAATAAATACTTTTGTATGCATTAAAGCTGCTGGATGTAGGAATGTAATCCCAAATCCATTAATGCAAAATGTTTGTGAGAAATCAAAAGGAAAAATGTGGTTCAGTGTGTGACAACTGGGAGAAGATCAAGAAAACCCAATGTATTATTTGATATTGGCATAGCATATCGTGATAATGTTTACAGGAGAATAGGCAAATGCGGCTGTGTACGAGGGCATTGACATACACAGTAATGCTTAAATGGATTTGCTTTGGTTAAATTGAATTTGCAATAAGAAGTGCCAATTTCAGAACTGAGCAAGGCTGAGGCAGGTCCTAAAACACGAGGGGGAAGCCACCAGTTTCCCAAAGCGACAGGTTGGCAGGAAAAGAGTGGGAGAGCCAGGTTCCCAAATGCTGTGTATGCAAGCCAGGTTCTAACAGTTATAGTTGAGGGGAAGCCAAGCTTGGTCAGCAAAGTTAAGTGGAGCAAGCCAGGTCCCCAAGGCTAGGGGCAGGGGGTGACAAACCAAACGTCCCCCAAAGCAATGGGTAGTGAGGAGCTGAGCCTAACCCGATCCGAGAACTATAGGTGGGAAGTGGTAAGCCAGTTCCCCAATGCCACAGGTGGGGGGAAAGGTGAGCCAAGACAGATCCCTGAAGTTATGGGTAGGGTGGGATGTAATCAGGAATTGGACAGAGTACCAGTGATAGCGCTTATAGTAAACCATGGGATACATAAATTAAAAGGGAATAACTAAAAAATAATATTATAGAAAACAAATTTGATTAAGAACTTCCATTACTACATTTTAATGTTCAGTCTTTCTGAACATATTATAATGTACATTGACATCAAGGCTATTAAATATATAAAGGCCTTTTGTGTAAATTTCTTGGTTTTTGCCAGTGGCAAGTAGCACTTACGAAATATCAGTAGTTTTACAAATACAGTACTGATAGTCATAATACCGTATTAACAAATAATTGTATTCTACACAAATTTACGTATCTGATCACTAATGCGTATGTATCTTTTTACTAGGACCCCAGATGCAAGAGTTAGCACAGTCAACATTTTATTATGAACAGTTTCCCGAAGTTATGGGCATGCTGTGGAAGCGCATGCTGCAAGAAAACCGAGCAGCATGGCGACGCACTTACAAGTCTCTACTGCTTCTCAATTACCTAGTTCGTAATGGCTCTGAGAGGGTAGTCACATCTGCTCGAGAACATATTTATGATCTAAGGACACTAGAAAACTTTAAGTACATAGATGAGCATGGCAAAGATCAAGGATTGAACATTAGGTGAGTCGGAGATAATATTGTAGCATTGTAGAAGTTTAACATGGTGTTTCCATTTGTCATTAATTTATTTTTGGTTTGTTCCATAAAGTATGTTAGGCCCCATAGAATGAGGTGGGAGTATGGAAGGTGGTTCTGACCTGCTCTAAATTTTGCTGCAGATCCTAGCTTAACCCTTCCACTGCATGACACAGCCAGGGGGTTGACCTTGCTAGTTATATATATACTGCCCAACACAGTTGGGGAAATTTTAAAGTACCACACAAGATTTTAAATCCTGGCTGTCAAATCCAGCAGTGGGTGTTAGCTGGCGGTTAAATTCATTCAAATGTCCTTCCCTCTTCTTAACATTTAATGCACAAATTGAATATGATCAACCACTTCCAGCACTTCACCATTTAGCTTTATCTAGAACAGAATTTCTTTCCCTTCACTTCCATAACTATACTTTTACCCACATTAATTTAAGGTAAAATTTTTAATTTGTTTACGTAAATCTCGGCATAAATTTTATTTTATGTAATCCTCCTGTATGTCATCTTTATATACATACAGTACTAGGTTCATACCCTTCTTGACACACTTACTTTGACATTCCTTATAATCTTGTCTATGTATGTAACATACTAAAGGGGGGGGGGTAAGGAGGCTACCTAACTTTACTTATTCCTCCTCTCTTTTTCCCATCTTTCCCCTCACCAACTTCTTCCTCTCACTCCTTTCCCACCCTCTACATCTTTCTCCCCCTACTCTCCCCCAATCAAACCTCTTAACACTTTCGCGCTTTCGATTAGAGATAACTCGTCACTGGTTTTTCTTACGATTCCGCATAACTGCCTACTTTTCTCGTCAATCGAAAAAATATTTCTATAAATTCCATTTTTTAACCGAAATGGATGGGGATACGTTTGTTTTGTAGAGAATTTATTTGCAAATTTTTTGGTACCAGAATGAATATTATATCACAAACTTCTATGAGTAAAAAAAAAAATACACAAAGTATGTTTGGGGGTGTGGCGAGCGTGTGGCAGTGGGTTCCCTTTAGCCGTTGATATATCCAACACGTGGGAAATATTTGTATGTGTTATGTATATGTCTGTGTAGGGAATTTTACTGCGATCACTGTCATACAAATTATAAAATGTTTCAACAAGTATAAACATGACAAACATCAAACGAACGAAAACAATGCGTTCGTTTCTGCCGCGAACGCATACTGAGCGACGTGGTTCTATATTTGGCGCTTCTCTTACACATGCTTTGTACAAATGTTATACAGTTCATCTTATAGAAAATTTTATTGCGAACACATTGGTAAAAAAAGAAATACGTACATAGAAAAGTAGGGTCAGGAAACGTATAAACTTTCCAAGCATGATTTCCCCCCTGTGTTTTCGCCAGTGCGCTCGCGGCTAACTACTCTCCACTTCACACACTCTTGCGGGTGGGCAATTACCTATATTAAACATTCATATGCATATGTCCGTGTAGAGAATTTTATTGAGATTCCAATGATACCAAAATTAGCGATGTAGGACAACTGTAGGCTTCGCAACCATTAAGAGAGTGGAAACATTTTGTTGCTGTTTGGCGCTCTCGGCGAGTGATCTACATAGTTTTTTAGTTGGTGTTGATACTCCTTATGCTTGGGCGGCATTTTATAGGTATGCTCTTATAGACAATTTCATTGCGAACACAGTGATACCAAATTTAAATACGTGCACCTTCAATTATTGTCAGGACAGTCAAAAGAGTGTACACTTTTTCGGTCTTACCGCGTAGGTGCGCGAAGTGCCGAAAGCATCTGGGGTATTTTTTTTTTGAGCGCTGAGAGCGCGAAAGTGTTAACTGTTCTCCATTCCACTTTCTCCCAGTCTTCTCCTCCCCCTCTCTCCTTCCCTCTCTTCAAATACTGTATTCCCCTTCTCCTTCCTTCTCTCTCTTTCTCTGTCTGTCTGTGTGTGTGTTGCCTGTTTCTTTTCCTGTCTGTCTTTGCTCTGGTTGACCCACTCACTCTGCAGGCATATCTCTGTATCTATCTTTTCAGTATCTGTCTCTAATCAAAATAATATAATATCCTCCCACTGGCATATGGGTGGTCTACTTGTGGGAGATGCCTGGTGGTGTGAAATAATAAAAAAATATAATAGTTACCCATAACTATAATAGTTAGGGGTAACTATTAGGTACGGCTATTATAGAAAGAAAGCAAGCAAGCAAGCAATAAATGTATATTATATATGTACTGTAATATTATATACTGTGTGTGTAAGTAATTACCTAAGTGTAGTTACAGGATGAGAGCTACGCTCGTGGTGTCCCATCTACCCAGCACTCTGTCATATAACGCTTTGAAGCTACGGACAGTTTTCGCCTCCACCACCTTATCACTTAACTTGTTCCAACCGTCTACCACTCTGTGAAAGTGAATTTTCTTGTATTTCTTCGACATCTTTGTTTAGTTAGTTTAAATCTATGACTTCTTGTTCTTGAAGTTCCAGGTCTCAGGAAATCTTCCCTATCCATTTTATCAATTCCTGTTACTATTTTGTACGTAGTGATCATATCACCTCTTTTTCTTGTCTTCTAGTTTTGGCATATTTAATGCCTCTAACCTCTCCTCGTAGCTCTTGCCCTTTAATTCTGGGAGCCACTTAAAAGCATGTCTTTGCACCTTTTCCAGTTTGTTGATGTGCTTCTTAAGATATGGGCACCACACAACCGCTGCATATTCTAGCTTTGGCCTAACAAAAGTTGTGAACAATTTCTTTAGTATATCGCCATCCATGTATTTAAAAGCAATTCTGAAGTTGGAAAGCGTGGCATAGGCTCCTCGCACAACGTTCTTTATGTGGTCCTCAAGTGATAGTTTTCTATCTAGAACCATCCCTAGATCTTTCTTTATCAGAATTTTTTAGAGATTTCTCACATAATATATAGGTTGTGTGGGGTCTATGTTCTCCTATTCCACATTCCATAACATGGCATTTATTCACATTAAATTCCATTTGCAAAGTGGTGCTCCATATACTTATTTTGTCCAGGTCTTCTTGAAGGGCATGACAATCATCTAAGTTTCTTATCCTTCCTATTATCTTACCATAATCAGCAAACATGTTCATATAATTCTGTATACCAACTGGTAGATCATTATGTAGACAACATCACAATACCAACTTAATGGTTCGTTATGGTGAACAAAACATGCTGATACATATATATAACATGTGTATATAGTGTAATAACAGCAAAACTATTTGTTTGTTTTATGAACATAATAATTGAATCACTAAGCTCAGGCGGAGCAGACCTCGTCTAGCGATTGCTCTGTCAATGTCTCTTTTTTTGTCAGACTTCCCTGCCCTATTACGCCCAAAATATGCCACCTACAATTTATTTTTTATTCCGTGAACAGGGAACACAAATAAACACTTTCATAAAACGAAAGAATTTTTGGATTTTTTTTGTTGTGCCTGTGTGTGTTAAAGGCAAAATGACCCTTAGCGGCCCAAGGGTTGAAAAAAAAATAATAAAAATAAAAAAAAAAATTGAAAAAAATTGAAAAACGGACAAATGCCATTAAGTTTCGTTCAGTGTTTGTCGGGTAGGATGCTCCATAGTGACAATCTTTCTTTGTTTCAAACGTGTTCAATTTGTTTTGAATTTTTCATTTATTTATTAATAATGGAGCAGCCTACCCAACAAACGCTGAATGAACCTTTATGGCATTTGTCCGTTTTTTTTTTTCTTTTTTGAAACATGGAGCAGCCTACCTGACAAACACCGAACGAATCTTTTTGACATTTGTTTTTCAAAATTTTAATTTTATCTTCTACAAAAATAAATCAATGCTTTGCAACATCACAGCAGTCACCCCTTTACATCCCAACATCATTAGCATCTTTAAAGAAACAAAAAAATATTTTTTTTTGCATCGTCGGAGGCGTCCGAATATGTGCGAGAACCAGCAGGAATGCACCATGTAGTTTTCTCGTTAATCGAGACAAATTGTCGGCGATCGGCATGCTCGTTATTCAAAATGCTTATAAATTGAGGCGCTCATCACATGAGGTTCCACTGTATGTGTGTGTGTGTATGTATATATATAACATATATATAAATATTATGTTATATATAAATAACATAATATTTATATATAACATTTCATTCACTTGGGCACTAGGAGACTCAAACCGTTGAGGCAATAGCTCTAACTCTGTACTATAAGGCATCCTTAATAAGGAAAGATTCCAGAGGCAACAAACCTCTGGAGTTGATAAATTGCTTTTGTTGAATAAGTGATCATGTTGTTACATTTTTATTGGTCTTTAGTAGTATTGATTTTTCTTGCTTCCTTTCAGGGTGAAGGCAAAGGATCTAATTGACTTCATTCAAGATGACAACAGGTTGCGGGAGGAGCGCAAGAAGGCCAAGAAGAACAAGGACAAATATGTTGGTGTTTCCTCGGACTCCATGGGATTCCGTGGCTCTAATCAAAGTAGGTGAAAGTATACTGAAGTTATGATGAATGGGGGGGGGAGAGAGAGAGAGAGAGAGAGGGTATTGGGTTTGAAATATCAAGAATAAATACATTTTCATTTATTTATTTATGGCAGCTTTAGATGGTCAAGTTCCATATATGCCTTGGTAAAGTGTGACTGTAATAAAGATAACTAAGAAGATATTTTACTAAGAAATTATGTGAAAGACAATAAAATGTGAGAACTAAATACAGTAAAGTTACTTTGGCGACACCAAAGTAACGCAAGTGGAAGGTTAGGTGGAAAATTCAAAATATATAGCCCTGCCTTACAAGTGCAAATTTGTTGGCCAAAATTGCCAATTCAATGCCTGTATGTACGGAAATCTTGTTACATGAAATTAACAAAAGTGTGATGTGACTTTTCTGTTCAAATTATTTTATTTAGTTTTCCTTCTTCATAAAAAATTACAAATGCTTTTTAATGGAAATGCCCTAATTTATATGTATTAAATTATGACATTTTTGCTGTCATTGATCTGAAGACTGGCAGTCCCTGATGGCTAAAGATGTACTATATTGTAATTTAAGATAGCCAAAATACTATAGGAGAAATTAAAAATTTGTTATGGCCTCGCTAATGTAAAGGTCACTATAGCCTTGAATCGAGTTATTTTAATCTGATATACTTTCCCCTTGTATACCAAGTCGGGCTGTGCAGTGGTTAGCGTCAGCAACTAGAATTCTCTCGGTCGTGGGTTCGAGTTGCCTCAAAGCTCCTGTTGAGTTTCTCATTGATATATATGTCACGTTATTGTGATTTGTCTGAATTTAAAGTTAATTATACTTTTGTTTCCTGGAACACCACTCGGTCATCAACCTGTTTTACAATACTAAGAGCATTGGGTTTTCCTAGAGCTTGTTGATGTGTGTGTGTGTGTGCCCTGTACAGTTGTGAAGGCCAGTAATCCTGTAGTTCCTTGATTTAGTTAGATATACTGTACATAAATACAAGGTGACATGCATGGGCCAAAAGACATTCTGCAGTTCCCTTAATTCTTATGCTCCTGCCAGTGAACAGCAAAGTGGTGCTATTTCTTAATACAGTAACAACCTATAACATTCACATGAAGATCAGCTAGCCAAGGGAAATGTTTTTATTGTCATTTTTTGAAAATGAGAATTACAATATATGTGGTAATTACAGGTGATTGGGACAATTGGGGAAGCAGTCGAAGAAAACAAGATGAATCTGAATTAGGATCATCACGCTTTGAAGATTCACCTAATGCCAGGTGTGTGTCTTTTATTATATCAGTGGAAATGGATCAGTATGACTTGTAGGCATTTTGAAATTCCTAATATCATTTTAGGAGATATATAGTATTGAATGTTGAATGCAATGCACATTTGTTTCAAGTAGGTAAATTAAACTACTGTCCTGAGAATGATGTGGCAGGGCACTTTTATAATTGTACTTTATTTTTGTTTTCATTCACTCTTCATTGTAATTACCACCATCTTTGTCACCATGTCTTCCATCATTTGGCAAGAGTCATTTGCCCAGAGAGGATAAGAGAGCCGCATAGAGAAATGCTAAAAGATATTCCAAATGACACCCATCCATTCTCCATACCCCTCCTTGCTCGACATCATCACTGAGAACCACCACCACTGAACTCCAGAAAATCAACAGCAGCATTTCTGCTTCCTGGACTAGATTTAAAGTACTTGTAAGTTGTATAGAAAAAGTCACACATTCAACAAATTGCTTTCACTCCTTGATTCAGACTGTTTTTTTGTGCCCTACATAAACTTGGTCTGTGTTTTATTATTCTTGGCATTCCTCCTAATTTTTTTTTTTTCCATACCCTGAACACCACACACTCTTTGAATTGCTCGTCTTTAGTTCAATAACTTTATTTTTTATGCCTGTACAATACCAATTTTGTACTTATTTGAAATGTTGGTACCACCTGTGCAGTTATCTCTCTGTATCTCTTCTTACATCCTTTTTCCTACCCAAGGCTTTTTATTGCCCCAACCACTCGGCTCCATCTTGTACTTGTACAGATTCCTCAGTTTTCATTACTTCATTTGCCTTTATTTTTACTTACCTTCACTCTCCACTATTATTTTCTATTTATCCACATTCATTTTCAGCAGTCACCTTTTACACACAAAATAGCATGAGCATTGTGGCGTGTGTAAGTCAGTCGTAACCTTTGGGTGGCCTGAGTTGTTACTCGGTGGCTTAAGGGTGAATTGAAAATGGGGTTGGTTTACCCATGACCAAATTTAGTTTGCCTTTCATTTCCTGTAAATTGTAGCTTTGTGTTGTCTGTACCCTCTGGGTGGTTTTCTCAGTTTTGGGTTGATCACAGTTTTCACGGTGATCCCCAAGAGAAAATCGCCGAAGCACTTGAAGAAAAACAAAATGCTGATGTATGCACGGACTTTGCAAAAAATTTGATAAATGTGAGCATAGAGTGATAACCCATAGAATGAGATCAGTAGAAATTAACAGGTAAAATAGGGAAGTGGATTTAAATTTTTTTACCAAACAAAGTGCAAAGAATAACAGTCAAATAAAGTCCAAGCACAGTGAAAAGCTCTATACCAATACTTGATGACGATTCTCGGGATCAATGTCCCCATGGTCCAGTCTCTGACCAGGCCTTCTGGTTGGTGGTCTGGTTAATCAGGCTGTTCGATGCTGCTCGCAGTCTTACATAAAAGTCACAGCATGGTTGATCAGGTATCCTTAGAAGGTGTTTTATCACGTTCGTTTTTTTTTTTTTTTTTTTTTTTTAACACTACAACGAGACCAGCCAGTTATGCCCCATATGTGTAGACGGGGTGTGTTGAACAGTCTTGGACCTTTGATGTTGATAGAGTTGTCTCAGCATACCTATTGCATCTCTGCTTTTCAGTGGGGCTCTTTTGCACGTCCTGCCATGCCTTCTGGTATTGTTGGGTGTGATTTCGGAGTGCAGATTTGGAACCAGTCCTTCTAGTATTTTCCAAGTGTAAATTATTATGTATCTCCTCCTTGCGCACTCTGAATACAGATTTAAAACCAGGGCACAGTCCTTGCATCACTGTTTTTTCATTCTCTTATCTGGTAGAGACAGAAGTGCAAGTCATGGCTTCGTGTCATCCTTTATAGGTGATAACAAAAGTCAGCATGAAAGTTACTAATGTAGAAGACACTGAAAAACTACAACCCAATATCAATAAAGTTTTATCAAACAGAAAATAACATGATGTTCAACAGTGATAAATTCCAGGTACTTGTGTGTAGTAGAAATAAAGAAACTAAATGAAATATATACAGGATGCAAGACAATCAGATCTACTTATAGAAGGAAATTACATGTAATGGATCTGTGAATAATTATGTCTGATGACTTGACATTTTGTGGGCATAACTTATGTGGGAAGAATTGCAAACTTTTGCTGAAACGACTCGCCCAAATCACGGTGCAGTAGGTCGTTGCCTTAACCTTTTTAATGACACTGTGATGTCTCGCTACAAAAATTAAAACGCATGGAAAAACAAAAATCTCTGGAAACGTTTTAAGTGAGACAAACGAGCAGTGAATCACAACCAGGTCCTAGTGGTATGCAGGCAAAACGTAAGAGAGAGTGTACCCCCAGGGAAGTCATCACTGCCTGATGTTATAATGGAAGGGGGACTCTCCTTCCAAACAGTAACACCTCTGCTCCTCCCCCCTCCTCACCATCTTCCATACACATCATGAGTCCTCCATAAAGGTAAGATAAACATATGCACTGTATTGTAGTTAGAAAAAACATTGTATTCAGTATAAAATGTATTTGTAAGTTAATATTTTGGATGGGTGGAGAATGGATTAATTCAATTCCCTCTATTTCTTATGGGAAAAATAGCTTCGACTTAGGATATTTTGACTTACGATCCATCTCTGGGAAAGGATTACCATCGTAAGTCGAGGCCCCACTGTACCAGATATACCTCGATGAGTGTATCAGAATTCTGATCTTGGTTTTCAGTATATCTGTGCAAGTCCAGGGGCCTGGTAGTGTCTTGTCTCTGTGGTACAAGAGCTTTGTGCACTGAAAAGATACAATACTTAGGGGCAAGTCCAGAAATTAAGACTTGGCGTGACCAAAGAAGTGTTATCCTATACTCAAAGGTGATTCTAGTGTTATGCAAAGAAATGCCGATATACATTTAAGTAGAGGAAGAAACATAAGCAGTTGGGAAAGGTGTGGCTTTTTTGCAGCTCTTGTTAAATAAACATTTAATAATTTTGTTATTATTTTTGACTTGCAGCTCTAGTTAAACATATTTTAATTTTTAATTTTTTTTGCTTTATTAAATGTTCTTAAAATATTTTGCAGCTTATATAGGTTGAAGATGTCTGCAATTCTATAAACAATTCTGGAGTTATATAAAACTTGTTACTGTTTTGAAATTACTGTACTACTACTACTAGTGTCATTTTCTCTTACTTTCCTCGTATTTTATTTCATTTCTGATAATTTTATTACCTTTCTTCTTCCTGTACTTTTTATCTTCGTACAAGATACATGGGAATTGTGTGTGTTCATCAGAGAGTAGTCGTGAAAATTCATAGCTCAGATTTTCACATGAAGGTTAAAAAAAAAAAAAGGTCCAGTTATCTACTTTGACCCTCAATGTTTTTTTTTTACTTAGTCTTCACAAAGGTTCCATCCATTGACAGTCAATTATAAATACTGTATAGCATTTGTTTATAAAAATAAAAAGTAATTAATGGTGAGGAATAGGATTGAAGATCATAAATTATTATTATTATTACTATTATTATTATTATTATTATTATTATTTAACATTGTTAGTGATGATGTATGTATTACATTAAAACTTGCAGTGGTGATGAAGTGGAAGATACTGCAGATCCTGTAAATGAATATCGTGATGAGGAGATGAGTCCCAAATCTGGCAGAACATCAGTCACTGCCACCCCCATCACATCCATCACCAAAGCCTCAACAGCTCCTCCTGCCAAAAAATCTTCTAAACCCTCAAAGATGGTGGATTTAGGAGCAGCTGCAACTTTTGGGAAGGATGCTTCACAATCACAGGTGCATACTAAATTGAGTCCAAATTTCCCTAAGAAATAGATGTCCCTAATTGGGGGGTGTCTTTTAGCAGTGTTCTTCAAACTCGGAATAATGAGCCATTACTGGGTTGTGGGAAATGATTTGTGAATTGGTTTAAAATTTTCAAGACACAAATAATAGTACTGTACAAGGAAGACCCCTACTCTTATTTGAATTATTTAGCCCCTGGTGGCAGATATTTAAACTATTTTGACTGTATTGTGGTTTTAATAATCTCCAATAATAAAAATTATCTTGAAAATTAATAGTCATACATGCACAAATGCTAGTAGGTGGGGCATAAATAGCTAGACCTCACTTTCCCGTAGTCAGTGATAGGTAAACATCCTCACCTTCCACCATCCTCTCCCTCCCTCCACCATTCCTCTCCCTCCCTCCCCTCCCTCCACCATTCCTCTCCCTCCCTCCCCTCCCTCCACAATTCCCCTCCCTCATTCTCCCTCCCTCCCTCCCTCCACCATTCTGATGATGCCTGAAATATCAAGGATGGGTGGATTAAATGTTCCTAGACTGCCGAAAAAGCCACTTTCTTCAACAAAAAGTTGATTTACAAGGTTGAACAGCAGGCTGGGGTAACTGAGGCAATAAAAGACGGAATTAGTGTATCTGACACTGGGTTGAAGTTAAAGGAAGTGTCACGGTGGAGCCAATTTCTTCCGATGAGCAAGAAGGCTGATTTGATATGACATTTGATTGTAGCTGGGGTGGGGAGTTGAGAGGCTAGCAAAAGGGTTTTTAATTGGTACTGTTGCCATATCAAATATTAAAACGCAGCAAGGCAAGATTATATGAGTTCATTGCTAAGTGAGTGTGTCCTGGTGGAAAAGGGTTCTGTCCTGGTGGAAAAGGGTTCAGAGGAAACGATTCGGGACCTAAAAACATTATATCTTGGACGAGGCAGTTTTTTATGCATTCTTTGTAACTTTGTCTTTGAGCTCCTGTTGTAACTACTGTACTTGTAATCTGCATTTCGAAAATCCGGGACTCTGTTACCAGTATTATTATATTTGGCATGGATTTTTCCAGTGATAAATCTAATTTCTTTGATCATCATTACCTAGTCTGTTGCCTATTTCCATATTCTAATAATTTTCTGTTTGGCAAGACTAATTATAGAATTTTTCTTAATAACAATTGTTTCTTAATAATTTTCTTAATAATTTGTAATTTGCTTTACTAAAATGTGTACAGTAATTTTAAAAATATTTAAGATTTAATTAACAACATGTAATGGTCGAGGTCAGTGGCCATTTACCATGTGAGGGTGTACTGATGCCAAAACAAACCAAATACCAGCCTATGGTTTTAGTGACTACCAGACCTGTATATGAAGCTCCAGATGCTGGCCTCAAAGTCGGTCTTTATAACTGGCTGAACGCTAAAAAAGATGTCCTTAAATCGGGTGGACATACAAACTATTAGTCTAAGTTATATCATTAAATGTTCAGTAGTCTCTAGTTATACTGTATAATGTTTATATCAGTATTCTTTGATGGTCCTCAGCAATTATGACATGCAATGTACATGGTAGTAAATATCCTATTTGTGACAAGTCATACTGTTTGCTTTGTAGTCACAAGCACCTGCAACACAATCACAAAGTAATGACCTATTGGACGACTTGTTTGGAAATGCGACCAGCAATGGTACATCTAGTCCAGCCAAAACCTCCCCAAGCGGTGCTGAAGATGATTTTGATCCCAGAGCAGGTGAAGCTGGCAGTTTAAACAACAAGGCTGATTTTGGTGACTTTAGTGTTGCTTTTACAAATAATGCAGCAGAGGCTTCAGGGTAAGTACATTAGCTTGTGCTTCATTAGTTTAAAAGCTTACTATCAGTAGATATGTTAAATGACATTCCATTCGGAATACATACTAGCCTTGTTCCATTTAATGATGAATGCAAATCTTTTATATAAAACTACCACTTTTTTAACTTTTTTGGTGTCTTCTTTGATCAAAGAAATTAAGTTCTACTACAATAATTTTGTAAAATGTTTAATGCCCTTAATGTGGGCATATAGTAAAGGAATATTATACCCTTTTAAGATCAGTTATCACAAACATTTATGCTGAAATATCTACTCGACTGTCTTCTGGGGCTTATGTTGATTAGCTAGTGATGTTGATGAAAATGAGGGTCTTTCTATTTAGTCAAATCAGTATTTTGCATCTGATAATCGATTTCTTTTCTCCTTTTCAGGAATGATGATTTTGCAGACTTTTCCTCGTTTCCTCATGAATCGGCAAGAACAGTTGCTACTGGTAAGACTCTTATGTCGGTATTGAATTTAAGGGAAAGAATAGCCTAGTGAAGTGGTGACCATTATGAGACGGCTTATCAGGGCACATCAGTTTGCTGCTAAACTGCTCTCACTGCACTATGTGTGGTGCTCTAAGTAATGTTGTTGGTGAGAGTAGTGCATATAATGGATATATTAAACTGAAGATAACCTGCAAACTCCATATTCCATTTGAAATGACACTACTGAGTGTGACTACACAGTGCACAGTTTAGTCTCTGTCAGTCAAATAAATGCATGACAAATAATTATCCATAGCTACTGTTAATTTCATATTTGAAGTTTTGACTAATTAGATAAATTATATTTTGTTCTTTGATGCATTGTGGAGTATATACTCGTATATATGGAGTATATATGGAGTATATACTATGGGTTGATACTTAACCAACCCACAGTCTGACCACAGCATAATTAGTTTCTACAGAAGTACAACTTAACCTGCTAAAGAGGTATACTAGTGCTATCAGTTGTGTAGATTCTCGGCATAATTAGCGTCTCTCCCGTTCCCGTAGGTGGCTCCTCAAATGCTTCCTTACTGATGGGAATGACCCCCACTCCAGCTGCCTGTGCTTCTTCCTCAACTACCCCTGCAGTATCTGGGGCAGCAAGTGTTCCCTCCAGTAATAACATGGACCTTTTGCAAGGTATTTTAGGACCTGCCACATCTTCCACCCACTCTACCCCATCAGCAGCTATGATTCCCTCAACTGGTGCTACTAACACTGATATGGGAGCATTTGTAGGCGGGCTTGCAGGACTTACACTCTCGCCAACAGCTGCTGCCCCCATGACGCCAGCTATGCCAAGTAAGTTCATTTGTAAGTTATTATTTGATTTTTTTCTAAGTGACTGCTTTTGTTGGATATGCTTTTTATGCTTTGTCTTTATTTACTGGTGTGTTAAGTATTGGACAAATTGAAAAAGCTAATTATATTTTATTTAACGCTAAATCAGATTGTTACGGCTTGCTCATTGAAGTTTTCCCATATTTTTTGCTGCCTATTTTAGATTTTTGTGACCTTGATATACCTGTTACCTACCAGCGATTGCAGGGAATGAGATTTAGCTCCTTATGCCTTTTCTCTTAGCCGTTTATATTTGGAGTGCTAATTACCTCTGTCAACATTTTCATCATATTTTTGGCTTCGACGGCCTCTTCCTACAGTGCATTCCACTTGCCGACCACTCATAGAGGAAACGGGAGCTTCCTTATATTTCGACCTGATTGCATATCCGGCTTCCACTGACATTCCTTTGTCCTACCTCCTCTTAATTTAAATAGGCTTCCTTTGTCCACTTTGTCTTTTCCTCTCAGGATCTTGCATGTAGTGACCATATGCCTTCTATTTCTTCTCTCCTAAGGTTGAGAGGGAAAGTTCCTCAACTTGTCCTCATAGTCAAACCTCTCTCAGTTCTGGTACTAATCTAGTTGCAAACATCTGAACTTTCTCAAGTTTCTTTTTGTGCTTACAAAGTGTGGGTTTCATGCTGGTGCTGCATACTCAAGTAGTAGTCTCACATAGACAATGTGTCTAGACTAGAAAGCCTCCTTATTTAGATTTTTAAATGACATTCTTATGTTTACTAACTTGCCATATGTTACTGATGTTATGTTGTTCATATGAGCTTCTGGTGTTAACATTGGTATTATGTCTACTACCAGGTGTTTTTCTCTTATTGTTTCTTGTAATTGCCTTCCCCTTATAGTTAAGTGCAGGTATCCTATCCCAATACCCCTTTTCATTACAGTGCTTTACATTTATTTGAATTGAATTCCAGCAGCCATTTATCTGTACACTCTTGAAGTTCATCAAGGTCTTTTTGCAGTATTCTGTAGTCCTCCTAAATTCTTACTATCCTCATTAACTTTGCATATTCTGCAAACATTGACATACGAGTTCATTCCGTCTGTGATGTCATTTACATAACATTTGTTCATTTACATAAATTGAAAAGAGCAATGGTCTTGAGACAGAGCCCTGTGGAGCACCACTTTCCTCTTCTCTCCATCCTGACCTATCTTCTCTTATTGTGATCCTTTGTTTCATGTCCGTCAAGTACTCGCGTACCCATTCCAGTTCCTTTCCTGTTATCCACACTTCTCTCTCCATCTTGTTTACTAGTTTTTTGTGTGAAATTTTGACAAAAGCATTCTGGCAGTCTACAAAGATATGGTCTATGCATCCTTCTATCTATTGCTTTATCTTGGGTAACCCTGTCATAAAATTCAATCAAGTTTATAAAGTATAATTTCCCCTCTCTGAAGCAATGTTGTGACTTTTATAAAATTTGCTCTCTCCAAATGTTCTACAATTGTTTTCTTGGTGACTTTCTCCAGTATTTTGGATGGAATGCATGTTAATGACACTGATCCAGAATTTGGTGTTTCATGTTTGTCTGTCTCTCCTTTCCTGAATATTGGAACTACATTTGTGTTTTTCCAGTAGCTCTCCCATCTCAAGTGTAATGTTGAACACTAGTTAATGATTGATTGTTGCCACCAGAGGCGGCAAGTTTATTGTGCACCCCATACTCATCCTGTGAGTGGTAGCACCATAAGGATTACAGAGTGCAGAACAGGTCTTTCTTTATCAGACCTCAACAGATTATTACATTAATAATTTCTTCTATCCTTCATACCTTAAAATTACAATGTCAGCTAGATACAAAGAATGTTCTATTTCAAGAGCTATAAATTTACAGTATGTCAATGAGTAACACAAGATCCCTGCCGCTTCCTTCAGTAACCATGGTGATGTTTGGTCTGGTCCTACTACTTTTGCTGCATCCAGTTTCTCCAGGTATCTTTTTACCTCTTCTTCTTCATTAACTTGATAGCCTAGTGTTATTTCTGGCTGTCTGTTGTCACCTCTCCTTGGACATCAATCTGGCTCTGGTTTATAGACCTCTGGAAACTCATAATGATTTCGTGCACTTCTTTGTCATTCTCGAAGAATGTACCTCCCTGTCCTCAGTGTAATTACAGTCTTGTACCATTGTTTACCTCTGTGTGTGCAACAGCTTCGTGCAGCTCTTTGCTTTTGCTGCAGTGCCATTTTTTAACTGCTGCTCTCCTGATTCTGGTATTCTCATTTCTGGCCCCTATTTAGTGTCTTCCCTATTTGCCTCTGTATCTATGTTCCTATACTTTTCCATTCCTTTCTTGCCTTCTCCTTTTTCTCCTTACACTGTTGAACCATCGGCTTGCATTCTCCTTTCATTCACTTCCCTCCTGAAAGAAATGAACTATTCTGTTGCTTCTTTCTATTTCTGTCATGAATTTCATTTCATTTGCTGATTTTCCTTCCATTTCAGTCTCCCATCTTACAGATAAGAGCTAACCCTCCTGTGGTCCCTTCTTCTATATTTCGTGCTCTTTATTCTGTTCCTGCCGCTTGTTCTACAGTGTTATGGTGCCACAGGAAGTGTGTGTAGTGTTCACAAGTCTTGCCCATCCCGTCTCCCCTCCAATATCTTCATCACCATGAGAATCCTTTGTTGACCAATCTATTTCACTATTTAAAATTCCCAAATATTAGGAATCCTCAGCAAATACTTTGATGAGGATTCCTTGCATCTTCTCAGTTTTGATCTTATCTCTCCTTCCATGTGGACCACCACCTGGTTCTGTCAGGTTGTTAATGATAACTAATTGCACCCCTTTCTATTTCTTGTTTGATGCTGTTCACTACCTGCTTTGATCTAACAGCATTTATCACTGTTGCCCTTATTATTTGCCTTGTCTCCCACGCTTTTGACTTCACTGGTGCTGTAATTTTAGCTTCCCCCATATAGTATTATTATCAAATATTATAATGATCATAATATAATACTATGCAGGCTAAGTTTGAATTTTATGCTAATAGGTCAAGTCTTTAGTTCACTTACTGTGAGAATAATATATCCAAGTAGTTATCTTCAGCAAATATTATAGGTGTTATCTTGGTACAGTATTTGATTTTAAAAAATTAAATACCATGTTAGGTGGTAACATGGATGATATTTACCTCATGTTTTGGTCATCACTTATTACTGCATTTACCCAAATATAAATTGCACTGTTTAAATATCAAAATTTAGGATATGTCTGACAATAGAATACAAAGATCCTATTAAGTAACAGCATCCAGCATCCCTCACAAAGGACCTCCACCCAGATTATTATCTTTCCATAACCCCACACCACTAATACCTTGATTAGTAAAGACAACTTTAAAAATAATTCTTGTTTTGTCATTAACACACTTGTTTCTCTATGCAGTATTTGTCTTTATTTGTAAGGTAATTTATTCAGGCTTTAAGTCTAAATATTCATGTCAAAGATGATGCAGGGACATGGGGTCTTCCTTGCTAATGTTTTGTAAATCAAGACATTGAAAGCAAAACATATTTTGTATTTTAACAAATACAAATATTTATTAATGGTTTGAAATGCATTATTCTTCGTGGCAAATGCTTACATCTGAGAATATATGAATTGGATAGTAGCTCCTGTTTGTATCCAACCACATCCCCACCCAGTGTGAAGTGTGAAGATTATGCAACCTTAGCTTGAAGCAGTCCAACACTCACACACAGGTTATCTTGCCTGGTAACCTCTTCCATAAATCCAAATCCTCTTAAGCCAGTTTTGACCCAGTTTTGACCTAAATTTTAGGTTATTAAATTTTTCATCTGTTTTGTCATCTATTGTGAGTTGTAAATATAGTACCTTTTCTATATCCACATTTCATTTGTTTATATATTGCAGTGATGTTCTTTATTATTTTTTTGTTTTTTTAGAAAATGGAAATTAAGCTTTTGCTTAATTTTCCAATGGGAAGGTTCCTAATTATCAGAATTAACTGTCATCCTTCTCTGGGCATGATATAAATACTTTTATTTGTTATATATTATTGAGACCAAAACTGAACTGCATAATTTAAGTTAGGCCTAAGAAGGGCAAGATAAAAGTGAAGAACATTAGATATCTCATTACTATCACTTCTTGATAGTGAATGAACAAGAGTAGTCAGCGTTGTCCACCACTTGTATAAGTGCCACAAACACGAGACAAATCATTGTTGACTACATGACTGCGATCGTTTCTCATTTTCTTCATATTATATGAAGATACTTATTTGCATGGAAAACTTTGGAGGGCACGTATATAAATTTTTGTTTAAGGATGCAGACAGTTATAGGAATTTACAGTCCCCAACTTCGTAAAAGGAAATGTAGTAGAACTTAGTAGAAGTTCATAAGCCAGATTTCCCATAGTCACTGCTATAAGTGGGGAAAATATTCCAACATGGGAGTGTCCCACTTGGCTGTGCATGTGTAAAACCAGCACAGAGTGAGTTAGTATATGAGATAAAGATGCTAATGGCAGCTTGGAATGTTTGTATATCCATGTAACCACTGTTTTGTTTTATCCAAGATTTAAGTACTGTACAGTAATTGTAACGAGGCAATAGAAAGATTTGTTTATTTTGCCAATACAGTACCGTGATCCCTCTGTGTCTTCTAAACTGGCAGATTCAGTTAAGTGATATTTTCTTCCAAACTTGTAATAAAGCAAGGAAGGCTCACAAGTAAGCATTGGCACAAAGCTTGCAGACGGTGGGAAGGTTGTTGTTGTTTTCCATGATGATTCGTGGTATTCCTGGCTGGTGACCATCTCTGTGATTCCTTTGTTTTTTCTTCACCTATTCCCCTGCCTTTTTTGTTGTGTAGCAGACTTGCAATTGGTCATACATACAGGCAGAAAGTCTGTCTCTGAATGAATTTGCCCATGAGAGGTATTTATCAATCTTATGTATTTCGATGAATCTGTGTACCCATCTCTTTGTATTGTATATATGCTTTTAGAGATTTACCTTGACAAATGGGCAAGTTTCACAACCAAACCAATATGGTATTATTACCATGCAGGAAATGAGTGTATGGGGAGAAGGAAGGGATGGGGATGGTTGGTGAAAGTAAAGGAGGGGGTATACATGGATAGGAAAAAAGAGAGGAGTATGCTTACTTTAACTTGTGTGCGCCCTTCTGCTTGCTTGTATTACATATTAGGTATCCTCTGTAAAAGGTGAGGTATCAGTGACTACAGGAATGTGAGAGTTAGCTTTTTATGCCCCACCACCTAGCTGTTTATACCTAGTGTACTAATTATCTCTCAACATTAACATTTTTATCATACTTTGTCTGTGTTATGAATGGAATTGGCTTCAACAACCTCTTCAGTGCATTCCACTTGCCAGCCACCCGTACAGGAAACAAGAACATCCTCTATCCTTTATCCACTTCTGTTTATTCCCTTCAAAATCTTGTATTTAGTTGTCATATCCTATCTGTTTCTTCTCTCTAAGGTTGCGAGGGTGAATTCTCTCAACCTGTCCTCATAGCTAAAGGCCTCTTAGTTTTGAAACTAATCTAGTTGCAAATCTGTGAACTGTCTCAAATTTGTTTATGCTTCTCAAGGTGTGGGTTCCATGGGATTGCTGCATACTCAAGTAATGCAGGGATAGGAGGAAAGGGGTGTGGAAGCATGAGAGTGAGAGAGTGCGTGTGAGTGCTTGCGTGCGTGCGTACGTACGTACGTATGGGGAGGGAGGGAAGGAGGGGGGTGTGCGAGAATGGGAGAGGGATGTGCAGGGATAGGAGGGGGGGGGGGCAAGGATGGGAGAGGGTATGGAAATAGAATGGAGGTGGTGCAGGGATTGGAGGGAGATTTGTAAGTGTTAAAAAATATTGGCAGTAACTTTACTGGTACGGTATTTATTTATTCATTTAAATATATTAAGACATTACAATGCAATTTGCAATAATTTTGATGTATAAATGGTTCATTCTAACAAAGCCATAGATTACATCTTGAAAACTGAGGTTGGAGACAAGGTTGTGACTCTTGGTGTTGCATCATGCTCACACACAATGATGGGGTTTGAGTATTTTGTATTAGAATTTGACCGTTTCCTCCTAAACGTTTTCGTGCTGAAGATATTTAAACTTAGAAGTACCCTATTTATATTAGCTTGTGGTTACTGGCATGAATAGTTTAATAATTTAAAATTTACTAGCCAAAATAGAGCTTTTTCAATTTTCAGCATCAAGAAGCCAGGAAAGCAACCTTGATAATGTGAGAGAAGATAAACGAAAAAAGGATTACAAAGACGAGGAAGAAGTAATAAGTGGAGAAGATGAGGTTAAGATTCAAGATGTAAAACCTATCCTTGGTAGGCAGAAAACTATTTTAAGATGCCTGGAAGAGGAGCTGGCAAAATCTGACCCAAATCCCTCTTTGATTGTGGCTTCTCTGGAGACAGTTATTAACTTCCTACCTGGAGAATTGACCCCACAGCAGTATGCAGGTTTGGACCAACCTAGTCAACAGGCACAGGTGTTTTATAAATATATCTGTGCCACAAATGTTGCCATGGTAGTACAAAATTTTTTGAATAATGGAGTCCTTAAGAAAAATTATGAATGCAAGAAATTGTTTTACAACTTTTTGGAAACTTGTTATCTAGAAGAAAGTGTTGGTGCATTACTGATCATACTAAATGAGAAAAACTTGGAAAAAGCAACAGTTGTAGGAGATTTGTTGGAGAGAGTGATATTATCAGATGCCTATTTATTCTGTCTGCTGAGACAGTGCTCGCTCTTTGTGAAAAAGGAAAGGCAATTAGCTGTGTGGGAGGAAACTGTTAGACTTCTCACTTCCTTGCCAGAAAAAGTTGCAAATAAACTCCAGAACAAAATTCCCAAAACCTTTATACCAAGAATATATGGCAAAGTTGTGGCCTATCACATTCTGCAGGCTATATATTTTATAGCTGATGGGCTCATCCATCATATTCCTAGTAACATTGAGGCCATTGGTAAACTTCTTGGTCAGTTGTGTTATGTTAGTGATGCACAAGCTGTGCTCACTCCTTTTGTCCACTGGGTGAAAAGGTGGTCGAGCAAAAACCACGTAGTTGTGAGAATCACACACAGACTATTCCAACATATCTCGCCAATGGCCAAAGAAAGAGTCATTGCAACCTTGTTAAAGATGGAAGTTGACCACAATACTCTGTATGTGCTGCTGGGTGATTCGGGCATAATTTGTCCGAAGACAAGATACCTTCTTACGGAAAAGTTTCTTATTACCAGACAGATTTCAAATTATGTATCGGTTCCTACCATTATTGGGTATTTGGCAGCTTCAGAGAGTAGCCACAAGGTTCTTAGAGCTACTTTTCAAAAGTTGTTAGATACTTGGTGTGATAAGAGCATCATGGCTCATGGATCATTTGAATATCACACAAACATTACGAGAGGTCTTATGGTTTGTCTTGCTCATTTCACTGCAACAGATATTGACCATTGTAGAGATAAAGTTATTGAAAAGATGCTTCATGGAGTTGGTCATCACCTTGACAGCCCAAATCATCAGATGAAGCTAGTGGGAATGGTTACAGCTGAAGAGTTAACAAGAGTCCTATGTTCAGATGCCCCACAACTCAAATTTGAATACGAAGATGATAAACTTACCCTTGACTTAAAGAGTTTAGTATGTCACAAAAAAAAGGATAATGTATGTGAAACTTCAGATGATGTAGCAAAAGTGGATGATGGTATGATTGACAGCATTTGTGAAAATAAATGGTGGCTGGAGGACTTTAAGTTGGAGTTACAAGATTTGGGTATGATACCCAAGAGTTCAAACACCATTTCCCAAGAAAAAGATGAAGCTTTGAAAACTGAAAATATAGAAAAGAAAAAACAATGTTTAGTAAATACAGATTTTTGCAGTGAACAAATGGGGTCAAATAGTTCTGAAGTACTGGACAGTGACGATGATGAATTTCAACCATATGATATGTCGCATGATACTCCCAAGACAAAAGTTAGGCTACCATCATATCCTCAAGAAGTGCTAGACTATATAATTGAAGGCGAGGCAGAAAAGGTGGCAGCAGCTCTAGAGGTATCGGAGAAGATTGTACGGCGGGAATCAAAGAGGATGGATTCTGAACTCTCTGTAGAGTTGGCAAAGGTTGTCCTTAGTTTAGAAGATAATTATAGTACTCAAGATTTTGAAGAAAATCGTTTAAGAACTCTCATTGCTCTGACTGTCTCGCACCCTAGCAAGTGTGCACTATACCTTGGTGGGGAATTTTACGAAAGGAACTATAATATGAAAAAGAGGATAGATATTATACATTCTCTTCATAGAGCTGCAATTGAATTATCAGGTGATGATTCATCTACATCATCATTTCTACATGGTAATCTTGTAACTACTAGTAAAGATAAACATAATGTTTTGAAAGTTAATGAAATGAAAAATGTTGCTGGTTGCTTTTTCTTTCCACTTGTGCATGGCCTTACTGAGCCACGACCATATCTTGATTTGATGGACACCGATCGCTCTCTTCTGTGTGAACTTTTGAGGACCCTTGGTGTGATTGTTAAGGTAACTGGGCAGTGTGAAATGACTCTGAAGATGGCTGCATGTCTCTTGGAGCTGACATGGTTATTACGCACACATAGTGACTCTGAAGTTCGTGCGTCATGTTTAGAAGCCCTTGGTGCAGGCTTGGGGTGTGTACCCAATTCTGTATTGTTGTCATGTGTTCCAGGAGAGTTACTTGACTTGCAGCAGTGGTTAGCAATAACTTTGAAAGAAGATAAAGACAAAAAGTGTCAGCTTCTTGCTGCACAGTTGGCATTGAAGCTGAACAAGTGCTTCTCTTAGTGCAATATCTAGGACCCCCCTCCCCACAACATTCACTTTGTTTGCTGAACTTTAATAATGTACCACAACATTTTGTTAAGACAACTTGCCTTGATATTTTGTATGCAGATTTAGCTCATTTTCATCTGTGTGGTTGGTAGTAATTATACTGTACTGTGTATGAGAGAGAATGGAGTGGCAACAAGACGTTGGTGGGTTGTGTGCATGGCAACTTTTCCTATGCCTCCAGACTTGTATACAGTGATTTTTATTGTATTGTTGTTAAATGTAATTCACTTTGTGAATTATTGACCTGTAATAAATTCTTAAGGGTCCAGGATAATTTTTTTTCTTTAATGGAAGACCTGTCTAGGAGCTTTTTTATTTCAGTATGTTCATTTTAAGAGATTGGCTATTTATTTACTCTCTGGGTATATCTCTGGTCTATCTGGAGTGTCATGGGTGGCAAGTCATAAAATCTTGTGTACATTTCAACACTAAAACTTTACATTTTGTCCAAAATTTGTATTTCCTGTCTATGAAGTACTTGTATTGTTCCCCTCTCCTCTCCCATAGCAGTAGAAAAGTACACCAATTAGCTATAGTATTCATCTCGAGCATAAATTAATCAAAGGGTCACAGGAAGTATTATAACAATCGCATAAATGTCATTATACTGTATGAAAAGTATTAAATGTTATATGTTGAGTGCATTTTTATACCCAAGCCCATTTTGGGCAAGAGGCACTGGCAGCTGTGCTGCATAGATGTGTTATCACTAACAAAAATGGCATTACAACCATAAACATTTTGGATAGCTGGATGATTTGAAACTTTGTTAGGTGTCATCATTACCACTAGTGTTGCTAAAAATGGCTTAACATTTGTTTAGCCAAACTAGCCAAAAGATTTTCTGTACTTAGCTCTTTTGTCATATGTGATTTAAGTGTTGTTGCTGCATTTTGTTCACACCTGCTGTGCTCAGCAGGATAATTTATTTTAAATGATGCATTCCTTTAATTTATGTTTAAGAAACATTATATTTGTTAATAATAGAATGCTTAACAATTTAATAAATGTATTTTTCTAATGTACTCTGAAGGATTTGTTTTCATATCCAGTGATTATAGCGACTAGCATCATACCTGTTGTTAGAGTACGCTGGTTATGCAACTTGGTTAAAATCTTTGTAATTCATGCAGGTCACTTTGTCTACCCAAAGTGCCAAATATTCAAGGTGAAAACTACTTGTATATACATTGTGAAAATACCTTGTTTATTGGACCATCTAGTTGGAGGTGGCTTCAACTCTTTAGTGGATTCCAATTCTTAGCCACCCATACAAGTATTTCCTTGCGTTAATCTTGTTGCATACCTCTGCATTCCTTTAATTTAGTTTTTTCACAATAAGTGAATTCCAGGTTGGTTCTGCATATTCCATTATTGATCTAACATAGGCTGTGGAGATTGGCATAAGAGTCCTTATTCAAGTTTTTAAATTGTATTCTAATGTTTGCCAGCTTCCAATGTATAGCTGAATTTACCCGATTTTTGTGCTTCCTGGTGTTAGTGTTGTAATTATATTCACCGTCAGATATTTCTTTTGATTTCTGTCATTGCCTTCCCCTTATGGTGTAAATACTTCCTTGTCGCCTTTATTTCTTTCACATCTTCATTACCATACATGTGTTAGGATTTAATTTTAGCACCTATTAGTTTGTCCACTCCAGGTTTGTCAAGGTCTTTCTGTAACTTGGCAAGGTCATATGGCATGTGTTGTCGGACCCGCACACTTGAGTGGCAGGGAGTTGACTATGGTCGTTCAGGTTTACCTTGGGTGGGCAACTTGGAGCACCTCAATGCATGCTTGTTCGCTCCTTGTGCCTCACTGAGGGGCCCAGGTTCTGGCTCGTGGTCCCTGGTAGGCATAGGACTCCATCGATTGACTGTTGTCATGGTCTGGTTATATACCTGGTTGGCACGCAGGAGTAACATACTCCTGTGTATATACTACACACAGTAGTATATACACTACCGGGAGTAACTGGTAGGGCGCTCCAGTGGATAAAGGGGTACCTAAGCAATAGGAAGCAGAGAGTTAGTGAGAGGCGAGACCTCAGATTGGCATGAAGTCACCAGTGGAGTCCCACAGGGCTCTGTCCTCGGACCTATCCTGTTTCTGATATATATAAATGATCTCCCAGAGGGCATAGACTCATTCCTCTCAATGTTTGCTGACGACGCCAAAATTATGAGTAGGATTAAGACAGAGGACAGCTTAAGGCTTCAAGAAGACCTGGACAAGCTGCAGGAATGGTCGAACAAATGGTTGTTAGATTTAAGATTTAAGATTTAAGAGATGACAACAGATGGCCAAAAACTGCACTACAAGGGTGGTACCCGAACAAGGGGACACAAGTGGAAACCGAGTACCCAAATGAGCCACAGGGATGTTAGAAATTACTTTTTCAGTGTCAGTTAACACATGGAATACATTAGGCAGTGATATGGTAGAGGTAGACTCCATACACAGTTTGAAATGTAGATATGATCGAGCCCAGTAGGCTCGGGAATCTGTACACCAGTTGATTGACAGTAGAGGCGGGACCAAAGATCCAGAGCCCAACACCCGCAAGCATAACACGGCGAGTACAACTAGGCGAGTACAGAATTTATATTAGAAGAGAAAAAAAAAGATAACTGGAGGAACTGTATGTAGCATAAGTAGTAGTACCAGACAAGATGTCACCATGATTACTGAAGGAACCGGCAGAGTTCTTGTGTTACCCATTAACTAGTGTGTTCAACATTTCACTAGAGACAGGAGAGCTACAAGAGATCTAGAAACTGTAGTGCAGTTTCTGGCCATCTGTTGTCATCTCTCCGTGGACACCATTCTGGTTCAGGTTTGTGGACCTCTTGGAACCTCATAAACTAGGTCACAAATAGTAAGCCAGTTTAACCACAGGCAATTATTCCTTTAAAATTTATAAGTAGAGGAAGATGGGAAAGGCAATGTATTAAATACAATATTTTTATTTAATAATTTTGTACTGTAATTAATGTAAAGAAGTCTACTGAAAATTGTGTATTTGGAAGAGAACAATATAAGTTAGGAAAATTTAAGACAATGAAATGCTTAGGTATCAATATAGGTAATAGTTCGTACTGGGTGTATTGCTAGAATGGAATTGTATGATAAAGTGAATGCAATATTTGGAAGTAAAAGAATGATGAAATAAGCATGGTACAGTAGGCACTCACTCTGGGCAAGATGCATGTCAGGCAAACCTTGTATTACATAACCTTCCCGGTTTGGTGCCTTTCTTTTTGATAATTGCTTACTTTTAAATATGTACAACATTATTTTGTGGCAAAATAATTCAAACACTTAGCTGCTATATCCAAGCTTTACTGGACTCCTTTAACTACATATCTGAAATAATACAAAGCAAATGTTGTGACAGTTTGGAGAGGAAATGACAATTATCTAGCATTGTAATGAATTATATGGTTACATGAAAACAGTCAAGCTGAGTATTAGTTAAAGCTGCTAGATGCCAGCATGCTGCACAACTTGTGGTGCAGTGGTAAAGCACCAGGATACAAACATAGGCCAAATCGCTTACGAAGTGCAGGATGAGTGTGTTACCGCTGCATCACCGGAACTAATCATTTCCACTTTAGTAAACATCTACATGAATATTACTTAAGTACGACCTCACTTTCTAGTCTCATATGCTGATAAAGTAAATTTGTTCCTTAACAACATACACACAAACACATGACCTTTCAATTGTTGATGGTAGGTATCTTCAGGCAAAGTATAATGTTTGCAAGTGGCCACAATCTAAAAATTCAAATATGTAGTCCAAAAAACACGCAAACCCATTTTGTAGGTAGTATTCCAACACAAGAATTTACAATACTGTAATCCTTTGTGCGTGTAAAAAATTATATTTTATATTAACTGGCTGCTAAAGTTTTCAAATTTTTTGGTGCTAAAGATTGTACCGAGTTAACTCGTCCCCCTGCCAAGGTCAATTATATTTACCAAATGAATGAGTATGGTATCAATTCCTACCATTTACTCTGAAAATTCTAGCAACATTCATGGAGTCTCGTTTCCAGTTGTCCTTGACTGTGGCTGTCTTTCCACAAGTTATTTTACTTGTTTCAAATGCTCGGTTTTGCAGCATATCCATTAAGTGCAACGTACAGGAAAACCCCATACCTGTATATGTAGTCCAGCCAGGGTTGAAAAGACACACACAGTCAATTGTTTTACATTACCCTCTGAAGTGGCTGTAATGCTTAAAATGACATGTGTTGATACTGATTTTATCAGCAATAAATAATTCTTGTCACTTACAAGTCTTACTCTTGCTCTCCTTGCATGTCCTGATCTCTTCACTGCAACTACATTCTAAGAAAAGGTAAAAAAAGGTAATTGTTGTTAATAGAGGTCTTTTAAGAAACTGGCTCCTTGGCTAAAGTAAGGTTCTCGCTCTAGAGCTCTCCCTGAGCCTCTGCATGTTCACCTTGTTTAAATGTTTTAATATTTGTGCGTTGTGTATTCTTAAACCCTTAGACGTTGAGAGTACTGTACCATGTAACTTGTCAAGCTTTAATAATGATAGCAGACAAGGTTAGTAGTGGTAAAAATTATGAAATATTCCATATAGGTTTTTTATGTAATTTGATGGGGAATTTATATTATGTATGAGCATTAACATAAGGAAATGTCTTGCGAGTCATATTTTTATGGCTTGGCATATTGCAGGATGTTTTATAGCAGAACAATGGTCTGCCTGATCTTTGCTCTTCTTCTATTGATAATGACATAAATGCCTAATAAGAGTTAGGTATTCAAATTAGTGATATCTTCTGGTTGGTTTACTACCAAGATTTATTTTTTTTTGTGTTAGTGTGATATGGGAGAATGCTTTTGCATATCTGCTTGAAATTTTCAAGACTTATTTGAATGGTGTAATGAAAATCACCATTGTTATGGCTATGTCTGTAACAGTCTTGTCAGGTTCTAGAGCAATTTAAAAAACAAACTTGAAGGGAGGAGACATTGCACTAAATCTAGAAAACAAATACAGTGGAAACTCGAGTGACGAGCGCCTCAATGTACGAGCATTTTGAATAATGAGCGCGCCACTCGGTGAAAATTTATCTCGATTGACGAGCTTTTGCTCGATTAACAAGAAAAGCACATGGTGCTTCCTAGTATTCCCGCTGGTTCTTGTAAATTTTCGGACACCTTCGACGATGCAAATAAATTTTTGTTTTTGTTTTAAAGATGCTAATGATGCTGGGATGTAAAGGGGTGACTGCTGTAATGCTGCAAAGCATTGATTTTTGTGTTTTAGACAAAATTAGAAAACAAAAATATTTGGAAAGAACAAATGTCAGAAAGGTTCGTTCAGTGAATGTCAGGTAGGCTGCTATATTTTCTAAAAAAAAAAAAATGAAAAATAAAAATTGAAATATGAAAAAAAAAAGAGAAAAATGTCATAAAGGTTCATTTAGTGATTGTCAGGTAGGCAGCTCCATTTTTGCATAAAAAAAAAAATAACAAATTTGAAAAAGGAAAATGTCATAAAGGTTCGTTCAGTGTGTGCCAGGTAGGCTGCTCCATTATTGACAAAAAATGAAAAATACAAACCAAATTGAACAAATATGAAACATGGAAAAAATGTCATAGTGGAGCATCCTACCTGACAAACACTGAACGGACCTTTATGACTTTTTTTCAAATTCAATTTTTTTTTTTTTTTTTTTTTACAAAATGGAGCAGCCTACCTGACATAAATTGAATGAACATTTTTCTATTAAATAATGAAAACTAAAAAGAATTGAACAAATTTGAAAAAATAAAAATGTCATAAAGGTTTGTTCAGTATGTCAGGTAGGCTGCTCCATTATTTAAAAAATCGAATACTATGTCATATTGATGTTTTTATCGATTAATTTTATTTCCATTATTTTAAATGGGGAAATTTGTTTCGAAAGACGAGCTCGGTGTTGGAACGGATTAAATTCGTTAATTGAGGTTCCACTATAAACATATCCATATGCAAATTTCTACAGTG